GACCAAGGCCTTGGCAAGGCTCTTACCATGGAGAGCGAGCCCTAAGCGCAATGAGGTGCCCCTGTATCCATGTGCTGTGCCCCAGTAAGATTGTCAAGACTTTTTGGCAACATCTGCAACGTCCGTTCAAGTTAGCAATAATATACATGCAACGTCCGGTTACACTTTCAAAATAAAATTACCAGTTAGTGTGAACAGGCACGTAGTAAATGATATGAAACGTCGCAAAAAACGAGTCAGTGTGAGTGAGTGCTTACAATATTGATAAGAGGACAAAGAGGGACTATCCTTCTGGGCACAAGAAGAGATAATAACTCAGTGAGAGCCAACGGGCAACGATGGAAATGATTACTACGTCGCGTGTGAACATGCGCTCATATGCACGTGCACGAAATGAAACTCGCGCATCCGGTTGAGCGGTACTACATTCCGCAGCCGGACTTTATTGCATTCCAGCAGCAACATTAGTGCAACCAGTCCAGATAAACAACAGATGTGAGGCACTCCTCGTAGGCACACATCATTTTAAAACAGGACAGTGATTATCTGTCTCTCAGTGACGGTTTAGTTAGAACTCTGGACTAATGCAAGATGGAAAGCAGTGGATTCACATTGACTATTAAAATGTTGATTAGTGGGGCAGGCTGGGCGATATGGATGCACATCTCTCAGTAAATAATAAACATTATTTAGTCAAGACCATAAAGAATAGTTTAAACCACAATTAACTATCTGGTTTCTTCAGCTTTCACTAAGGAGCAAAAATCAGCATTTAAACTCGATAGAAGTAATGATTTGACATTTATCCTGATAATTATCAATATCGAATGATAGCAAATTTTTTAGCGTGATAACATTTTTGGCAATACCGCCCAGCCGTTGTATAAATAGTATTTTAGCTTTCAAAATGTTAAAGGGGACCTTGAGCCAGTTTCTATGGGCCTGATGCAGCTGATAACATTAATATCTAGCAAGTATTGATATCTATTATTTAAAGAGGCTATGCTTAAATTTGTCAGTAGAGTAGATGCTGGATCATAAGCCAGTATGAGCACAGCCAGAGATGTCCAGCCAGCAGAAGTCTTCACAGACTTTATGAGGGTTTTTCTAGACGATTCCATTCAGGCTTATAACAGAGACAGACTGTTTAGTGTGTGTAGTAGTGAGAGCAATGCAGTGTCAGGTTTGCCTGTGTAGCAGTGGCAAATTGTTTACATGGCTCACAGGTAACATAGCACACATAAAATAGGTATGTGTACTTATGCTCCGGTCAAATCCCTGTCTGACATGTTGAATATGTATGAAGAAGAAGAAGTAGCGTTAGTAGTAGTAGTAGTAGTCGACTGGTTTATAAGAATTTTTAAAAGAAGAGAGATTTGGACAAATTGAGGACCATACGCATTATTAAGCACAGTCGACAGAGTGTGTCGACCACCATAGCTCTCCTGTGCGTTTGGAAAGGGAGGGCTGAGCGGTGACTGATGGTGCATTCATGTGGTGTTAGAATAATCAGAATCTTTTTTTTCCTCCTTAAATCTTTATTTCAAAAAGAGAAATAAAGTGTACATGGAACATAGAGAAGTATACAGAACTTTCATTCGTGCAAAAGAACTTATTGCATATACATATTTTGCAAACATGTAATTTGTAATATGGTTATAATGGTTAATTTGCTTTCCATGTAGAGTGAACTAGATGTCTGCATGTTGTATCTATTTCCCCTATAATGCTCATTCAACACATCTTTGTAGTAGTGTCCATGTTGATTCCACATTCTAAATCAAGAGTACATGAACACACACTGAAGTCAAAAGAACAACTTCACAACTCAGGAAATGGGACGATCCAAGGATGTACAATGCACAATAAGCCATTGGTTTCAATTTGCAACCCTCACCACTAGATGCCACTAAAACTAACACACTGAACCTTTGATCGCCGTATTCAACCCAACATATGCTCTGCTCGCTTACAAAACCAATCTTGAAAAGAGGAAAGATGGACGTCAATGTAAAAAGTGCAGTGTTTAATTCTGGAAGATAGCTGTTACACTAAATGACTGTAAGTTCATGCTTTTAGCAAAATAGCAAACAAAAAGAATGTCAGAAGAAAGTTACATCACAATTTATACATTAGATTGATGTATCAATGATGACATATTTTGTGTTGTTCTGTTGTTTTGTTTCATTTTCCGTCAGTCTCTCTTACTATACCAGCAAATCAATGGAGCAAGAGTTCTATTACTGTGGAAATGTCGCCGTCTAGCCTACAGGTTTGCCATAACATTGTCACAGGGGGCTGTTGTCAAGTATGTATCTGTTTCATTCACTCATGTCACCTCATGTCACCTCAGTGAGCAAGCTTGCTAGCTAGCTAGCTAACCCGTTTATGGACTATGGACAAAGTTTTTTCATGAGGAGTACACCTCAGCCCCAGAAAAAGTGGTTCAGCAACATCAGCCAGTGAACTTTGGACAGGTGTTGTTTCAGGTGTGTGAATCCACAGCTGTAACACTTGTATTGCTGACGGCTAGCTAGCTAACATTAGCTACAGTTAGCTGTTGTGCTATATAACTTTTATCAATGAAGAACATCACGTGACTGATGATGTCCAAAGCTCCAAAGCTTCAAATGTCATTGTTGCTCCAGAAAACGCTTCATTCAATTTGACAATATTAGAGCCACACTTTAGTGGCAAGAAAGGAGAATAGTAGAGAAATATAGTAATGTACATTAGAAAGACATAATCATACAAAGTAATCATTTAATAAAGAAAGAACCTAATTTAAACAATATTTTATGAATTTAATCACTCTGCAATCACATCAGATTGCGACTCATGTGAAATGTCACATAGATATCAACCATGAAGCTTAAAAAGATGAGCCCACAGTGGCACTCGAACTAAACTACAGCAAAAAGCTTTTTGCACAATAACATCTATATTTGATGCAGCACTTCTGATCAAAAGTATACAGGTTTAATTATAACACACAGCCTTCTTGGACTTTTGTAGCACATATGTGGCTAAAACTATTAATATCAGCGAGGTGAGGTGGTTTCACAACTACATGCCTAACCGTAACCCTACCCCTAACCGTAGCCTAATTCTAATCTGAAACTAAAACCAAGTCTTGACTCTCAAAAAGCCCTTTAAACATGTGGGGTCCAGCATTTTCTAACCCCACCCATACACACTGCTCAAAAAATGAAGGGAACACTTAAATCATACATCAGATCTTGATGAATCAAATAGTTCAAAATCTTTACTTTTAAATTGCATAATTCATTGAAAACAAAATGATGTAACAATGTTCAATGGAAACCCACACCACCAACTGACTGAGGGCAGAATTTAAAATCAATATCAAGTAAAACAATTGAAATCACAGGCTGATTCAACTTGTGTGACTTTCATCACTGCAACTCATAATGTGTATGACCCCCACAGGTCTGTTTGCACTCCCAACGACATCTGGGCATGGTCCTGATGAGACGGAGGATGGTGTCCTGGGGGATCTTCTCCCAGACCTGGATCAGGGCATCAGTAAGCTCCTGGACAGTTTGTGGCGCTACTTGGCAACATCGCATCCACCGATACATAACATCCCAGAAGATCTCAATTGGATTCAGGTGGGGAACGTGACGGCCAGTCAATGGCATCAATACCTTCTTCATGCAGGAACTGCCTACACACTCGTGCCATATGAGGCCAGGCACTGTCCTGCACCAGGAGGAACCCAGGGCCCGCTGCACCAGAGTAAGGTCTGACAACGGCTCTGAGGATTTCATTCCGGTACCTAACAGCATTAACTGTACTGTTGGCTGGCACATGGAGGTCTGTGCAACCCTTCAAGGATATGAATTCCCAGACCATCACTGACCCACCGCCAAACTTGTCATGCTGGATGATGTTGCAGGCAGCATAATTCATCATGGCATCTCCAGAATCTTTTACGTCTGTCACATGTGCTCAGTGTGAACCTGTTCTCATCTGTGAAGAGAACAGGGCACCAATGGCGGACCTGCCAAGGCTGGGGTTCTCTGGTGAACACCAATCGAGCTGCATTGTGCTGGACAGTGAGCAGATATCCCACTAGAGGATGTCGGGCAGTCATACCACCCCATGTTTCTGATAGTTTGGTCAGAAACATACATGGCAGTAGCAGGAGGAGCACTGCCAGAGCCCTACAAAATGTTGCAGGGCTCTGGCAGTGCTCCTCCTGTCCCTACTTGCACAAAGGAAAAGATACCAGTCCTGCTACCGGGTTAACGCCCTTCTACGGTGCTATCCTGCTCTCCTTGTGTAATGCCCTGTCTCCTGGGATCTCCTCCATGCAAGAATGTGCTGGGAGTAAGAGCAAACCTTTTAGTGACAGCAGGTATGGATGTGCCATCCTGGAGGAGCTGGGCATCCTGTGCAACCTGAATAGGTTGCAGGTACTACCTCATGCTGTCAGTAGTGACAAGGACACTAGCAAAACGCCAAACTAGAGAACAATCAGTCATAAAGAATAAGAAGAGAGCAACTGTCTGTGCCCACCACCTGCAAAACCATTCCCTTTTTGGGCGTTGCATTGCCTCTACAGTGCACCTGTTGTCACTTTTAGTTGTTTACATTTAGTCATTTAACTTACGCTTTTATCCAAAGTGACTTATAATTGCTATATATGTCAGAGGTTGCACACCTCTGGAGCAACTAGAGGTTAAGTGTCTTGCTCAGGGACACATTGGTGGATGTGTCACAGAGGAAATTGAACCAGAGTCCCTATCACCAAAGGCATGTGTCTTATCCGCTGCGCCATCAACACCAGCTAAGCATAAGCAATTCACAAACGCTTAAGCTTCCTGACTTGACATATTGATATCTCTGAAGTTTAATTGACTTCATGTTATACTGTGATGATTAAGTGTTCACTTATTTATTTTTTTGGCAGTGTATTAAAACAAACCCCACCCCCCACACGCAGATTCAGATACATACATACACTATGTTCTTACCTCTAATACGTGCTCTGTTTGTTGTTCGCGGTCCAGTTTCCTGGAGGTTGTAGTGATCAGACCTGAGACAAAAAACAGCAGAGAAAACAATTAGAAAAGAGACTCCTGTGCCACCACATTAGCAAAATAACTTGTTGTGGGTTTCAGACACAATGACTGACTTGTTCTAACTGGGCATTTCCTAAAGAAAATGTGAGAATATGTGAGAGCTGTCAGCTGTTAGCTGTGGCTTCTACCGCTGCCCCTGCGAACTGCTGCTCCATCAGCAATTTTTCAAATACTTTACCGCTACCTTCAGGTAAAAGAATCTAGCACATGCCACAGCATTAGTTAGTTGTAGTTGATCAGATAGTTCCATTTGATTAAACTGTCCTGAATGGGATTTGATCCCTCAACCTTTGGATCTCAGGAGCAATATCTTAATCACTGGACTATTCACACACACTGTGAGAAAATGGCTTTCAACTTTCTCCATAGATCTGGTGTTGAAGTGACCTGTAATGCCTCCAAAGCACCAACACAACAGAGCACTATTGCCTACAATAACCACAAATGCCTGGAGCACCACTGTTTGGCTTGTAAATATATTTTCTTTGATGTCTAGTCCACAACTGCAAAATACAATGAAGACACAGCTATCAACTACCCTTAAGGAAACACTGATGTTAATGAAAACAATGATTGCATTTAGAAAGACCAAGAATATACACATTTAAAAACAACTCAGTGGGAACTGACGCCTTAATTTATGTGTGTGTGGTTTTATGCTTCCTGTGCTTATTCTGAGATTATGTGTGTGTACACTGTATTTATGCAAAATACAAGTTATAATAGAGTTTTAAGAGTTTTGCAACAATTGTTTGCTTCTGAGAGATGTGTAATGTTTTACATTTATTCATTTAGCTGACGCTCTTTATCCAAAGCAACTTACAAGTGCTATACATGTTAGAGGCTGCACCCCTCTGGAGCAACTAGGGGTTAAGTGTCTTGCAGGGACACATTGGTGGATGGGTCACAGTGGGGGAAAAGGTTTTGTGGATAGTGTGTATAGTTTTGCAAAAATAGCCTACAGTTTCAAAAAATGTGCCTTAGCAATCAGAAAAAACTGCATTGTCGTCGGCAGAGGTGGGAGTACATGAACCGACTTCTGGGAGCAAAAGTGCTGCTTTGAAGACTGACACTCTACAATGTGAGCTATTCACCCAGACTTTTCAACATGCTTACAGTCTGATGTTCTGTTGATAAAAAATTAATTTTACATCAAAATAAAGTTTATTAGCTGTCATTTCGGTAGTTTTAGTTAGTCATTAAAGTCATAAAGTTGAAAGCAACTCAATTAACACCGTCGGCTAAGCTGGGAATCGAACCCACACACACTGTGATACACTGATGAAATCTCCAAAAAGCTGCAAAACCCTTCACTTTGGAAGTAAATATCTCCTTAACTAAGTTTTTAGCAAACACCAGGTACAAATTGCAAAGAGTCTCTACTCCCATAGAAACCCATTCATTTTAAAATGCATAAAATATTAATATAAAATCAACCATAACAGATTTCAGAGATCAAGTAAAACAATTAAAATTACATCTAATCTGATGTAGTAATCTGTGTATAGGTGTATATAGGTCTATGTCTAATAAAGGTGCATGTTTACCATTAAAAGTACAATAAGATGATGCAGATAGATATCACTTTGATCTCTGTATGACCAGTACAGGTGGTTAGATGTGTTTGCCCTTGCACTTTGAATTTTTGACATTTTCAAGATCAATGAAGTCATATATATTTCAACATATGTGGGGACCTTGACATTGTCGTTTGTGAACCAAAGCAAACTATTATTGTAGGTGTGAACACTCCCAAAGCCAAACTTGACTTGTGTCAAACAGTATGATCATGCTCAATATTCAATCAATTTGGTCAGGGTTGGTTGGTCATAATTAATAACATCACGAGCATATATTTCCAAACACGTCGTGAAGCTTAGATCTACATAATACACATTTTGTATCTGGCTTTGGTAATATCATTTCTGATTATTGCTGGCAATGAAATTAAAGCTGTGAAGTCAAAAAAGAAGAAGGGATTCAGAGTTTAAAAATCAGAAATGTGAAACTTTGAAGGGAATTAAATATAGAGCCACAAAACATTTTGTCTTGTGTAAAGTCCACATCGGCGGTGTTGTAGACACTGTAAATTGTCTGTGTAGATTGTCGATTGGATAGATGGAAGCCTCAATAGCCTTTACGTGTGTGTGTGGGGGAGGGGGGGGGGTCCTTATATTCAATCCTAGCAGAAACAGAAAGCCAGTGAAGTGAATGGAGAATGGGTGTGATGTGGTCGTACTTTCACATCATATCAGGTTCTAGTTAGTTCTAGTTACATAGTTAACATGGTTTGATGCTGTTCTGCTTAACAAGACTCCTCTAAAGGTTTGACCCCAAACATCAGAGTTAGGGGCATATCTGTAATTAATATTGATCAATACTGACACCCTCTATACTTAGCACATAGCCGTGGCCTGCTGTCAGAGAAAAACGCTACTGATTAATGAGAACATGACTGTTGGGTTTTATGCTACATTAGTCAGGGAGACTTGACCTTGATCTGTAAATGTCAATTCATTAGCTTTAGCAAGAAAGCAAATGTGACAGCACTCAACATCTACACAGCATACATACACTAAGGGCCAGATTTACAGAAGGTTTGCGTGAGTAAAAACGTGTGCAAACGTGATATTACCAGCAAATTACCACGTAAGCTGATCTACTGCAACAGCATCTGTATTTAATACGTTTGAAAGGAAGGTGCAAGTGTTGCGCCAACATGGCTGCAGTTATCATTGCGAGAAGGAGACACAGGCGTAATGAAAGAAGATGCAGAGAAATTAAAGATATTAGATAATATTATTCTATATCCATATCCATTCTATATCCGCGCTGGTCATAATAGCGACACAACCCATTGTAGGTATCGGAGAGGGAATGGGGCGTACAGGGCCAGGGACAGGAGATCGCGGAGCGACCAGGTACGCTGCGGACGGTTGGTGATTGTTCCTTCTGGCTGGATGAAACACGATCTGCTGGCATTTCCTTGCGTATGGGCAAAATCACACAGGCCTATTCTAAAATGCTCATTGTGGGATGACAAATTAAAGCGGGCCACAGTGAAGAAGGTAGCAGAAGCACAAAAGGACAAATAACAAGTCATTAACGTTGGGCAGGCTGCACACTCTCCTGCTGAAATGCTGAGGGGCTTCCAGTGGAAGTTGAAGCGGGTCAGAAGACGGAACTAAACCACGGTTCACGCAGCCTGTGTGAGTCAGGGGTGATAGGCTACATAGTAGCCTAAGTCCACCCCTCAGAATTCCCATGATGCATATTGGTGAAGGGAGTTTTATTAAAATTAGCTAATAACTTTGCCACTTGTTGTAAATACAAATGTTACTTTGTGATTGGTGTATTTTTAAAAAGTGTCTGCTTAGAATATAATGTTTTAGTAGGTAATTGTTATTGTTGTGGTAGTTTACCATTGAACGTAGACTTTGTTAGTTGTACTCAAGCGCCCATACTGTCCACATTTGTTGAGAGTGGATATGGTGTGTGTGCCGGTTCAAGCTTGCTAGATGATGATTAACGGCAGGCCAAATAACCCCGCAGGCCACCGGGATATGGCCCGGTTCTCCCGATGGCCAGACTGTCACTGAGACGCGCTGAATGAAACAAACCAAGGTTTTTACGCAGTGGATGCTTTCTTCCTTTCCGACTCTCCATTGCCGGAAACTATTAAAGTATTTCAAGTATTTCTGATTCTGAAAATACACTAACACCCCCGCACACAGAATTGCATGTCCTTCTATTAGATGCTGAAGAAAAGATCACAAAACCTGTTTATCTTCAGACACAAGTTAATTCCTTTCACAACACACCATTTATAAACCCTTTCCCTTCAGAAACCTATTTAAAAAACAAAGAGAGTGTGTACAAATGGCTGTAGTAACATCTCAGCATACTGTCTTACTGGCTACGATAAGATTGATCCCACACTGGGGAAATTCTCTTGTTACAGTAGCTCTAGATACAACATGGTAGATAAGAAAAATACACATAGGATAAAAAATTTCAATTCGAATTCAATTGAATTTATATAGCGCCAAATCACAACAACAGTTATCTCACAGCGCTTTTCATAAAAGAGCAGGTCTAGACCGTACTCTATGATGCTATTTACAGAAGCCCAACAGTTCCCACCAAGAGCAGGCACTAGGCTGAATCAGCTGAAGAGTCTTAACGGACTTTTTCAAGCAGCCTGATAATAAGGAATTGCAGTAATCCAGCCTAGAAGTGACAAATGCATGGACTAGTTTTTCTGCATCATTTTTAGACAGTATGTTCCTGATTTTCGCAATATTACGTAGATGAAAAAAGGCGGTCCTTGAAATTTGCTTAATGTGAGACTTAAACGACATGTCCTGATCAAAGATAACTCTTGGAGGCCAGGGCGATGCCATCCAGGGAAACTATATCAGAACAATAACTTCAGTTTTATCTAAGTTTAAACTTAGAAAATTACAGGTCATCCAGGTTTTAACATCCTGAAGGCACATTTGAAGTTTAGCTAACTGATTAGTTTCATCTGGCTTGATCGATAGATATAACTGAGTATCATCTGCATAACAATGAAAGTTTATGAAGTGTTTCCTGATATTATTGCCTAAAGGAAGCATATATAAAGTGAACAGGATTGGTCCGAGGACAGATCCTTGAGGAACTCCATGACTAACTTTGGCGTGCATGGAGGACTTATCGTTAACATGTACAAACTTAAATCGGTCTGATAAATAGGACTTAAACCAGCTTAGAGCGGTTCCTTTAATGCCAATGAAATGTTCCAGTCTCTGCAATAGGATCTGATGGTCAATGGTATCGAATGCAGCACTAAGATCTAATAAAACCAGTACAGAGACAAGTCCTTTGTCTGATGCAATAAGGAGGTCATTAGTAATTTTCACCAGTGCTGTCTCTGTGCTATGATGAGCTCTAAATCCTGACTGAAAATCCTCAAATAAACTATTGCTCTGTAGAAAGTCACACAGCTGTTTAGCAACTGCTTTCTCAAGGATCTTAGAGAGAAATGGAAGGTTAGATATAGGTCTATAGTTGGCTAAAACATCTGGATCAAGTTTGGGCTTTTTCAGAAGAGGTTTAATTACAGCTACTTTAAAGTACTGTGGTACATAGCCTGTTGATAAAGATAGATTGATCATATCTAGTATAGAAGTGCTGACTAAGGGTAAAACTTCTTTAAGCAGCCTAGTCGGGATGGGGTCTAAGAGGCAGGTTAATGGTTTACATGAAGAAATTATTGAAGTTATTTGGTAAAGATCAAGGGAAGCAAAGCAGTCGAAACATATATCTGGTTTTACAGCTGTTTCTAAGGGTGAGTTTGGAGATAAGTCAGTGCCAGTTGAGGGCAGGTCATAGTGAATTTTGTTTCTAATAGTTATAATTTTATCATTAAAGAAGCTCATGAAGTCGTAACTACTGAGAGCTATGGTAATAGTTTAGTTTATAGTTTGGGAATTTTTCTAAATGTAATTGAAAAATACAATATATTGTAGGAATTGAAAAATAACAATAAGGCATTCATTTTTGTCCTCTATGGGGGACATCGCATTGAGGCCTCTATTTCAAACACCATGCCTGTAACCTGTTTGTCCTAATGTACTGTGTAGAGTACATCCTGGGTTTTTAAGTGATGTCAGACAAATGGGTGTGGGGCAAACATAGCAAATGTTCTGTCTTTTCAAAATGGTGGAAATCACAGCATTTGCCATATTTTTAAGAAATAGAGCACTGAGTGAGGCAGACAATATTTGCAGATACAACATGTTTCTTTGTGTCTCAAAGACCAAGAATTGTCTTCTGATGCATGATGTGTTCATCACGTTGTACATGTCTCATCCTTAGTTTCAGATCTTTACCCGTTGAGTATTTTTAAGTAGTAATATTTTTAGTTTAAAAAAAGTTGCTTAAAATTGAATATTAATTTTCCATGATGAAATGTGTTTTATATTGTTTTCTATTAAGTGTAATAGAGATGAATAGCTAATGAGTTCCTATAAATGCCCAATTGATGGCTTTTAATATCTTTTTTGCTTCAATTGAGACCTGATGTCCCCTTCAGGACATGTGAAAAAACATAATAAAAGAAATTTGAGGAAAGATATTTGTGTGACATATTTCTCACATATCAATTACTGGAATTATGGAAACGAAATCAAAATGCAATATTTTATGCAGATTACTGTATAAAATATTGCTGATGCCACCACAGTGTCATAGAATGATTTTAAGTGTCCTGCACACACCAAAGGATTTCAGACTTCTCAGAACATGAAGACGACTTTGGCCCTTCTTCACAACATCTGTGTTGTTGGACCAGTCCAAGTGTATTGTTGAGGTGAACACCCAAATATTTGTATGGTCCCACCATCTCGATATCCAAACCCTGGATTTTCACCGGTGTAGTCTGGGGCACCTTCCTCCGGAAGTTTACCACCATCTTATTTGTCTTGCTGGTATTGATGTGAAATTGGTTAAGCTCACACAAGTCGACAAAGTCTGCAATGACGTCCTGATTTTCTTGATCATTCCCTTTAGGTGCATGCATCACAATGGCAGTATCATAGGAGAACTTCTGCAGGTGACAGTTGTTTTTATTGTGTCTGAAATCTGATGTGTACATTGTGAAGAGAAAGGGAGCAAGCACCATCAAATTAGCATTTCATTAACTGGAGTCCTGATCAACACTACTTTGTGAGGAATCACAATGAAGACAGCAATCATTTCAGCAGCAAGCCATCAATCAGAATCCAGAGAGGCAAGCGAGCAGATTGCAGTTAAGAAATACAAAGGCAAAATAATAGGACACCTTTACATACAGCGTCTCCACCGACATGTCCGCCTGAGCCTCACATAGGATAGGGAGAGATATGCTTTTGAATATTTAATAATTGTGTCACAACACAAATTAAGTAAACCAAATGAGACCCATAAAAATATGTCCATGTTGGTTGCCAATTGTATCAAAGTGGGTTTAAGTTCAGTATTTAATTGTTCAGTCATCTCTGCAGACATTTCAGTCCCTGTCATTCCTCTCTTGCCTACCAGCCTTCCTAATATTTTTCCTTTGCCAATCACCCATATATACAGTACCTGGCCCACAGCATTTAGTAATTTGTGCATTCTCACTGTACATACCACTCCAGCCCTGGTCTCCAAACCATGTTTTGTCAAGAAAACACACGGGAAATGTGAAACGGGAAATGAGCGAACCTACACGTGAAACAGCTGTTGTTTGTTATTATAAAGATAGCAATTATAAAGACAAAGAATCTGGGTGAAAGAATGGATTAGCACACGCAGGTAGCAGGGATTGTCTGAGCTACAGAGAGAGTTGAGGGTGAGTAAAAAGTGTTTTAAAGTAAAAAAGTAGCTGCCTGCTCAGCCAGCTGCCTGCACTCATTGGCTGGATGTGGATGTCGAGTCCGCTGACTTCTCCAAATGTTTGGCATGCGAGATATCTGACAGACGTCGTTGATGTGTCAGAAATGTGTCGGGGAGCCGTTTTGATGCATTGTTGAGTAGTTCACACATAACGACTGGCAACTGCAGATCAACTGCTGATTTACAGCTCACAATTATTTGTTTTACCATGGTTCTGCACCTCTGGACTGTGAAAAAGTTACTGTAAAAGATTATGTTTGATGACATTTGTCTTTGTTATTTACTTGAAATGTTTGATCTTTGATTGATGGAGTAATGAGGGTTTTTAAATCTGATAAATTCATTTATTTATGTTATAATAACACAGAGAAATTTTCTTACTTTTTTCTAACTAAGGCTATTTTTTACATCTGATAAATGTCCTTAACTTGAATACATAATCAAAAAAAGAGACAGTTATTTAACAATAAGTTAAGGAGTAGTTATGTACAGTCTTAGAGTTGCAACTGGCCCTTGGTGAAAATGAGTTTGACACCCCTGCCCTAAATTGTCCTTAGGTGTGAGTGTGACTGGTTGACATGTGTGGCCCTGCGATGGATTGGCGACCTGTCCATGGTGTACCCCGCCTTTCGCCCAATGTCAGCTGGGAAACAACCAAAATTAATTAGTTGTTTATCCAGCCATGTGTGTGTTGAACTTTACTAGCAGGTCAGGAACTTTGAAAAACAACTCATTGAATTAATTAAATACATTAAAAATCTATCCTCTTTGGTGCCCCTTTTGGCTGGCCATTGCCTTTTCTGTCTATGGGTTCTCCCAGTGGGCATTTAGGAACTGTCTGACTATGAAGCAGGATTTTACTGAAAAAGAACAGCCATTTATAATGAAGACTTAATGCTGGTCATTTAGGATAACAACCTATTTAAAGAGGTCATATTATGCTTTTTGGCTTTTCCGCTCTCCTTTATTGAGTTACATATCTTTTTTGTGCATGTACTAGGTTTGCAAAGTGAAAAAGCCCAAAGTCTTTCCCAAAGGGAGTTCCCATCTCCCACAGAAAACTCTGCTTTGAACAGCCTGAAAACAGCTTGTTTGTAGTCCAGCCTTTACTTCCACTTTCTTGTGACGTCACAAAAAACATGCGTCATAATGCTCGCCTAGCAGCTGGTCAGACACTCCCTCAAAAACACAGGTAGAAAAACACAGTGAGCTGCAGCACACCTCTCCTCTCCCTTCCAAACATTATCATCCTCCAGTCATTCAATCGACATAAAGTTGTTACCGTGATGTAGTGCACAGTTAAAAAAACAAAAAAACTCACAACTCTGAAACTCTTGCTCCAGTCTATGTTGCTAAGATGGTAAGGGGAACATGTACAGCTGAACTGAAGCCGTGTTTAACAGTTTTTCAGGACCCGCCCTACTCTGCTTCTGATTGGCTAGTAGTCCTTAACTAGGAACTGGCATGTGCAGCTCCCAACAAAGATCTTGTAGAAGTGCAATGCATCACTCCATAAATAAAACGGAGCATTCAACACACAGAGGGAAAAGAGGGGCTGCAGCAGTGTGCAGTATGACAAAAAATATGGTGTGTTTTTTTTTTATGGTGTTGAAAATGAAACCATGTAAACCTGTTCTGGTACAACCCCTAAATAAAATGATGAACCTGAAAATTAGCATAATATGACCACTTTAACACACACACACACACACACACACACATCCCTTCTCGCTCCTTCTCTGTACCCTGAGAGCCAAATGCTTAATTGTTGCAGTAAGATTGGGAAGAAGGTTGAAAGATGCATGGCACCAAATGTTTTATTCAGTGTGTACAGAATTTAAGTCAGTTGGAGCACCCTACGGCGTGAAATACGGTGGCTTTGAGAAAGCCTGACAAAGTATTTGATGCACAAGGTACCCTTCAGCGCCTTTTTATTATTAGGCCTTCAGTGTCCGTTTGAAATGCCTTTAGGTTTAGGAAAGATCATGATCATGGATTTCACTATACATTTCTCACACACACACACACACACACACACACACACCATTACTCACCAGTGCGGGTGTTGATGGTGAAGAAGTTCTGTGGGTTTCCGCTGGTTATGCGGTAGTTGAGCCTGTCAGCAGCGGAGGGGGGTGTGGCGTCAGGGTCCTGGGCCTGAATCTGGATCACAGAAACATCCCGAGGAGAGTTCTCAGACACTGATGGCCGGTACAGTGGTTCTGAAGTCAGTGGGGCGTTGTCATTAACATCCTCCACCTGGATGTACACCTCGACAATGGTGAACTGGGGAACCACACCGTGGTCGCTGGCATACACTGTTAGCCAATAGGACTCCTTGGTCTCACGGTCCAACATATCAGTGGTGTAGATCACCCCTTGTGGAGGAAGAGATGAAGACAGAATTTCTTTCTATGTAATTGTACATTATCTAGACATGGCTTCATGAGAGTGAACTGTACTGTACACCTAGTGCAAGAAAACAATCCCATACAAAGCAACATCAAAACATTTTTACTGCATCAGCACAGCCCATTACTTTTATTTTCAGTCAGAATAAAGAGGAATTTCACTGTGTAATTTCCTTCTAATGTCAGAAGTCCTCAACACAACAAGGACATATATAATGTGTTAGTGAGGGAAGAGAGAGAGGCGACCACCATAATGCACTAACACGGGGATTTGGTGGAAAGTAGTTCTTAGGTGAGTCTTTCTTAAAAGTCATGCTACTTCTAAATCTTTTCAATGCTGTGAGCACTACAAACTAAATTCTGACCAACTATGTACTTTTCTTTTTGCATTCATCCAATACGTCACAAAACCTGGACATATAAAACCAAAACTATCAGCACAAATGCATTAAATTACAATGAAGTTGGTCTTTTAGAATTTGGCTGTTCTTGCTGCTCCAAGAAACTTTGCTTTGGTTGTAGCTGAAGTTTTGCTAGAAAGTCAGATTTATACACAGGTGAAATAAAAATGTACCTACACATTGGGGCTACAGCGGCTACAGATATACTACATTGCGAACACAAGAATGATGATTGGGCAGCATGGGCTGCTTGTGTTTTCTCCTCCCGTCGTAGCACATCGTAGTAAACTAGATCGATACTGGAATATCATGTCAGTATATTAGGTCTCTGCTGGATTACTTTGGTGCAAAATGACATGCAGACGCTGCAATGATGCTGCAGACCGGAGGTTGATCAGCTGGCTCTCTGGTGCGGCCAGAACAACCTGGAGCTTAACACACTCAAAACTGTGGAGATGATCGTGGACTTCAGGAGGAGCCCCCCCACTCTGGGGGGATGGGCATTCTATCCAGTAACTACTTATAAATGTAGTGAATTTCAACCCAAAATGTTGTCACTTCACCTCAACTATGGAGTATTATGACATAAATACACTGCTCAAAAAATGTGAAGCAGTAAGGGAACACTTAAATCACACTTGAGATCTTGATGAATTAAAAAGTTTGAATAATTCGTTGAGAACCAAATGACTTAGCAACAGTCAGTGGAAACTAAAATCAACAACCAACTGATGGCTGGATAGTAAAGAGATCACAGGCTGATCCAACCTGCATGACTATCATCACAGCAACTGATAATGTGACTCAGTAGTGTGTTTGGCCCCCATGTGCCTGTATGCACTTCAATCTCTGGCTTTTCCAGGCTGTATGTCGACTCAGTTTCCGTTTGATGTCAGGGGAACATCAGGGCCAGTCAGTCATCATCCATGAACTGCCTGCACACTCTGGCACATCGTCCTGCATCAGGAGGAACCCAGGGTCCACTGCAGCGTAAGGTCTGACAATGGCAATGAGATTCATCCCAGTACCTAACAGCAGTCAGGGTACCGCGAGCCAGGGCTAGCTATGTTTGTGTGACCCTCCAAGGATATGCCTCCCCAGACCATCACTGACCTACCGCCAAACTGGTCATGCTGAATGATGTTGCAGGCAGCATAACATTTTACATTTTACTCATGTACTCATGTGCTCATGTGACAGACGTGAAATGTCTGTCACAGTGTGAACCTGCTTGCATCTGTTAAGAGTATTGCCAGGTCCGCCGCGTGTTCTCTGGCGAATGCCAATCGAACTGCACAGTGCTGGGCTTTGAGGACAGATACCACTAGAGAACATCAGGATTTCATGCCACCTTCATGGAGTCTGTTTCTGACAGTTTGTTTCAGAAACATGCACACCAGGGGACCTGGGACACCTTGGGAACAAATATACTGTGACAGATATTCTAGACTCAGGGTTTACTCATGCACTATTTACTCAATATAGACGCCTAAAACCATTGTAAATAGAGTAACCCATTAGTCATATACTAATTATTCTCTTCATATTTATCACATACAGTGCCTAGTAACAATCTGACCTGTATATAGTTTGTGGTCCAGCTCTTGCCTGTATATAATACCTGTTTAATAATAGTTATAAAAGTTAATAAATCGAATAAATTGAAAATCTTGATAACCAAATAATTTATAATTCATTTAAGTAATTTTTCAAGCAGAAATGCCAAAAGGTCTCTAGTTCCAGCTTCTTAATTGTTAATGTTTTCAGGTTTTGGACTCTGGAATAAAACAATTTCAAGACATCACCATTGGCTTTAGTAATGAGTTTTTTTCCCACTATGTTTTTTTACATTAAAAATAAAATTCTGTGACATGTTACATTAAATAGACAAGACTATTAATTGAGAAAATAACTTATTCACTGATAATAAAAATAATCAGTTTCAGTTTCAGTTAAAGTTTGCTAAGATTAGTTTAGCTTGTTACTATTGTATAGTTTCATGTCTATTTGTGTCAAACGGTAAATTTGCACTGCTTTTTGATAAGTTGAATACCGTGTATCTGTCAAACAAAGTTGTTTCTGATTCTGTATACTACTACTACTACTACTATTCTGGTTATAGCGGCCAATAACTTCTGTAATGTACATATGGACAATTGAGTACAAGTAATATTTGTATTTGTATTTAGATGGAAGTTTAAAAAAATCTGATTCTTCAAAGACCCCCACTAAAAACCACTTCTGCAGCAAAGTCCACTGTCCATTCATAAGATGAGCAACATCCACTTATAGTTTATAATCATGGGTTTATAAATACACTTCTTCCATTCATTGCTTTTTGTTGAATGTTGAATGTTCAAGGTTCAATGTTTAACTGTAATTAATTCAGAATTGCTGTGCTGTGAATTGCTGTGCTGTGTTCACTCTGCCTCACTGCTCAATCATCTCTGCCTCCTTCTGGCTCTTTGGCTGCACTACAGTTAGTAGCTATGCACCATGCTACAACATTGCTTTTAATTGCCTAAGCTCCTGCTTAAAAGGCTGCTTTTCAATTAAGAGTGTGGAATTAACAAATGTCACAGGAGTGCTGAACATAAAACTCACAATACAGAGCAGAAACAAAGCAGAGCTGCAGCAAACAACTGAAAACTGAATGATAGAGAATGGAAATGTGGTGAGTATGTTACAATCTGTGAGCTATGAGCACTACCCCAAACAAGCACAGTGATTCTGATGCACATATCAATATCAATATTAAAGAGTAAAAAGAAAGATGATATATTAGAATTTTTGATAAGGATCCCAGAATAAGACATTTTACAGTTTAAAATTTGAATTCTAAAGTAAACTTCAGTGGAAATTTTGTATTAGTAGTAATAATGCAATGAATGTAATATTAATGCTAGGATAGTAAAACTATTAGAAACTATTCGGAACCTTAAAAACACTAAATGAAAAATGTGTGCTGGGGGAAAGCCTGTATTATGAACATAAAATGAATTAAATAGATTTTTGAGTTTAATTTTCACATACTAATTAGTTTTACCAATCATTTTGAGATTTCTGTACTCTATTGTTACTTATTGGTCAACATATGCAGCAACAGGACATATCTGTGAAAACCTGACAATAACATCAACAGTGGAGGAAGAAGTACTCAATTTTCATACTTAAAGGGGTATTATGTAGTTTTCAGCGGCCAATAGTGGTGCGGTTTTAAGATAGCAACCAGGCGTGTGCTCGTACGTGTGCTCGCTTGAACTCATAAGCGGTCATAATCCGAAACGCAACCACTTTCATACAGAAATACCACAATAAACGCATGAACACCAGCATGCAGGCTGTGGCTTTTCTCCAGACATTTTCAGGCTCTGTTACTTAAACGTTCCCGTCTCAAAGGCAGATCAACACCGGTGCTGTACCTTTCCAATCCTCCCGGAAAGAAGGCAAAAGTGAGAGCGGCTACAGACATACAGGGAGACTGCTTCACACAATATACTGGAAACTCAGGTAAACCCCTACTGCAACGTTACAGTTACAGTAATAGTTTTATCAGCTGCAGGTTGAACTAAGCCATGCTCGTTACATGATCACGGTACATTTACTGCATTTAGCCGACGTGCTACATCGTTAGCTCGCCTGCTGCTTTCAGTAGCTATCTTTACTATCTGTGTATCTTTCACCGGAGGCTCAGCAATGTCAGCACAGTTAGATGTATTGGATGATAACAAAACGGGTAGTGAGCTGGACTGAATATTATAACAAGATTGTATCACACTTTATAACATTTAGACCACAGTAAGTAAGTTTACTGTAGTGTCAGTGGATGGCTCTTACTCTGGGTTGTATATTATGTGGGTCACGTTAGTTACAGCGACTGAGAGGTGGAGAATTGTGTACCTGAGTATTGGTAAAACCGCAATAAAATTTAAACTGAACATTGTGAAGCAAACAGCGGCAGGTCCGAGCTACTGTAGCATTAGCTGGCTGCTCCTGGCTGCATCCCTATAGGCTAACGTTACTAAACAAATCGCTCCACATTAGCTTTTTGCCGTTACATAATTTCTTGCAGGCTAATACACAGGCTACACAGGATAGTAAGATGGGTCGCGTTGGTGAAGTAATATGGAAAGCGATATAACTTTGCACCAGATAATGTTAGCAACTGCTCGGCATTAGCCAGTGAGCTAACGTGACTTTCTCTGTGTTTCTCCAGCTTTACTAATGCTCACTTAGTTCTTACTCGACATCAGCTGAACCTGTTTGGTCTGATGGGCTTCAGCACATGAACCTTTACTGTTTTACTGTTTTGTATCCTTACGTGGAGCTTGTGTTTTGCTGTGAGCTGGTTGTTTTATGGTGTTAGTGGACTGCATGTCGTTAGCTGCCGTGTTGTTGCTGTAGTCTGTGAGAGGCTCGGGAGCGCGCACAGAGCTGAATCCAACCCGGAGACCTCACATTCAAAGCAGAATAGTGGCTGATGCAAGCAACGGAGAAAACAGGCATGTGCTTCATTTCTAAGTGAGTTTTGAGCCCACTGACAATAAGGCAATGAAACTTTGATTT